TGTGACGATCGCGGCATCAGACCCCAGCCCTTCTTACCAAATGCATGACCGAAGGACTAGCCAATCTAAAACCGCGCTGTCACGTGCGTACAATGCCACACCCAGCTGCACCCCTGCACAACGATTTTCCAGCTAATGTACCACAATCTGTGTGCCCGCGAAAGCCGGAGCGATTGTTACTGGGTCAGGTTAATTACGCAATTAACCCTTCACACTGCCACCACCTCCTTTTTGTACAGAGAAAGAGAAAACTCGGCGATATCAGCAATACACTATGATGGTTGAGGTAATCGTCTGTATACCACTGTCACCGCAGGCTGGGTATACACAGGGTTAAACACACACAGTAGCGCTCTTCAGAGACAGGGGTTCTTAGTTTGCATTAAAGAGCTTTAGAAACAGTTCAACACTTTTCAGAAAGTAAGATTTATTACTAAAAGGTCAAAAGGGTGCAATAAAAATATTTACAGAAAAGATGTAGCCAATATATATACAGTATATAAACACAGTGTCAGGGACCCCAGAGCTGGCCGCGATCGCGCATCAGTCTGCGCATGCGCAGTGTGCCCGGCCGCACTAGCATGCGAGTATTGGGACCAGGGCACCCGCGATTGCAGCGGCGCTCACACATGCGCACTCGCGATCGCGGACGCGAGTCTGGCACCAATCAGGGCGCAGGGCGCCCTATTTAAAAACAGGCCAGGGTTGTGTTTAGTTGCCGTATGGTCTTACCTGTTTCCTGAGTTCCTGATTAGTAGATTGTCTTGTTGCCGACCCTGCCTGACCCTGATTTGCTGTCTGTCTCCTGTTCTGATCCCTGGCTTGTCTGACTATTCTCCTGCTTACCCCGCACGTTCTGATCTCCTGTTGCCGAACCCGGCTTGTGACCTGTTTATTTCTCTGCCTGCTGATTTTGTACCACGCCGCCACCCACCGTTACCGACCCGGCCTGCCTGACGCTGCTCTTGTTACCTCCTCACATCAGGCTCTCACCTGCTACACACCTCCAGCGGTGCTTCTACCGCAGCTGGGTGAACCCAAGGGCCGCGACCTGGTCTCGGCCTGCTCCAAGTCCATCCCCACCATCAGGGGCCCTGGTGAACAAGCAGGTTGGGGCTTAGATTCTGCACCCTGGGGGATTCCGGTCTGTGGAGCACTAGAGGCTACCACTGGTAGGAACCTAACACACAGAGAGCAATAACAGAGCAAAGAGATAACAGAAAGGAATTTAGATAAAGTACTTGCCGTCAGCCTTGATTTAAGCAGCTTTCAAGTTTCCTGAGCCAAAAGGGTGCCTTATCTCACAAAGTTGGTCCCGATGTTACAAGGGAGTATCTTCAACTTCAACTCAGCTTAGCTTAGCTCCAAGTATAACAGCCTTTTCTAGGAACTCAGCAGGGTGTCTCCTTGAAGCAGAGAACCAATCGCCTCATTTGGGGAGGGAGGTGTAGGTGGAGACCCCAGCTAAGACCAAAATCCCTCGCAAGTTGATATCATGACCCATAACTTACCCTTGGTGCGTTTAGCAGCCTTGCCACTAGTAGATTAATATGCAGACACATCTGCTGAACGTCTAGATATGAAATATGACATACCTGTTGTGATGGTTAAAAAGATATCATTTTCTGCTCTCCTGTATATGTCAGCTAGGGGGTGTAATATATCAGACGACTTGTATTCAAGTGACCGGTCTGAATATATGCCTGGTTTTTATGTAAGTCTTTCATATTCCAAAATATGTAATCATAGGGGAGAGTGGATTTTTAAATGTAAGTCTGTTTCACAGCTAGCTGGAATGTCTTTGAAGCTCAGGAAGGACTGGTTTATGGTTTTACGATCCTTTTCCAAGCAGAGTCTCGCAGAAATATGGGGGTCAGGCTAATTGGGGTTTATAGCCATGAGCTCTCTTGCTATGGCTTGATGCCTTTTTGAACTCAGCATCCAGGGACCACGTGTCACGCAACAGAGAGGGAGGGGGGATGAGGGAAGCTGATTTGGGAGTAGAAAATGATAGAATATGGAGGCCTTTGCCAAAGTGGAGGCTCGCATCCATCTCTGTGTGCACGATTGCTACAAGGACCAGGGCCAGAGACATTGAGGTGCAGGAGTGGGCCATTTGGTCACCACAGTCCTGCGTACAGCCTGGATTGGGGGACAAGAGAAACCTGCCCCACTTCTCCTGGCTGCAAAGAGAGATACAAAGGAAAGTTGTGGTAGAATGGGGCCTGGACTAACTCTATGTCCCCTAGGACATTAAGGACTTAGTAGAAGACTCCCAGACTCAATGGGAGGAGGACTTGATCTGGGACCACATGCATGTCCCCAGACACCTGAGAGGGTCTCATTTGGAAGGACCTTGGACCCGCTTCCAGGACATTAAAAGAGAGTGGAGTAAGGGCAGGGCCATTCACAAAGGTGGTGGATGTGAAAGAAGGGCAGCCAAGCCAAAGCTATTCTGTGGCCACCCGGAGACCTGATGGCTCCATAGTCACAGCCCAGTCCTTGGAAGTACTATTGAGATTATGGTCCAGTTAGGGCTGGAGATTTTTTTTTTCCTGGTGGGGGGTTCTCAAATTCTGAGGCATTGGTTTATATTTGTGTTGGGGGGAGGGGTGAAAAAGAGGCAGCAGTGGAGTGGAGTCATGAAGGTTTGCACTGCAGCTTGGCAAAAATGACCCCCCCCCCCCCCCCCCCCCCCGTGTTCAGTGGGCTGTACCACCTATGGAACGTAATCCATTCTACTGACCAGGGGCACCCTACAAGAAGACCATGCATGTGGTTGTGACACGCAAGTGGTTAAAACTGGTGGTGAAGAAGCCGCACCGTGCCTCCTCGCTGCCTGCCAAATGCTCTCTGAAGAACAATCTGAATACAGAGCCTCTTCAGAGTGCAACACTGGTGAAGATGAGTCCTAAGTGTCCATGTGGATGAAATCTGAAGGTTTGAAATCCCTGGGCAGGAGATCCCAAGATGACTCTCCTCATCCAGCTGTACTGGGGGAATCCCTGGGCAGGAGATCCCCAGATGACTCCTCTCCTCATCCAGCTGTACTGGGAGAATCTCTGGGCAGGGGATCCCCAGATGACTCCTCTCCTCATCCAGCTATACTGGGGGAATCCCTGGGCAGGAGATCCCCAGATGACTCCTCTCCTCATCCAGCTGTACTGGGGAAATCCCTGGGCAGGAGATCCCCAGGATGACTCCTCTCCTCATCCAGATGTACTGGGGGAATCCCTGGGCAGGAGATCCCCAGGATGACTCCTCTCCTCATCCAGATGTACTGGGGGAATCCCTTGGCAGGAGATCCCCAGATGACTCCTCTCCTCATCCAGCTCTACTGGAAAAATCCCTTGGCAGGAGATCCCCAGATGACTCCTCTCCTCATCCAGCTGTACTGGGGGAATCTCTGGGCAGGGGATCCCCAGATGACTCCTCTCCTCATCCAGCTGTACTGGGGGAATCCCTGGGCAGGAGATCCCCAGATGACTCCTCTCCTCATCCAGCTGTAGTGGGGGAATCCCTGGGCAGGGGATCCCCAGATGACTCCTCTCCTCATCCAGCTGTACTGGGGAATCCCTGGGCAAGAGATCCCCAGATGACTCCTCTCCTCATCCAGCTGTACTGGGGGAATCTCTGGGCAGGGGATCCCCAGATGACTCCTCTCCTCATCCAGCTGTACTGGGGGAATCCCTGGGCAGGAGATCCCCAGATGACTCCTCTACTCATCCAGCTGTAGTGGGGGAATCCCTGGGCAGGGGATCCCCAGATGACTCCTCTCCTCATCCAGCTGTACTGGGGAATCCCTGGGCAAGAGATCCCCAGATGACTCCTCTCCTCATCCATCTGTACTGGGGGAATCCCTGGGCAGGGTATCCCCAGATGACTCCTCTCCTCATCCAGCTGTACTGCGGGAATCTCTGGGCAGAAGATCCCCAGACGACTCCTCTCCTCATCCAGCTGTACTGGGGGAATCTCTGGGCAGGGGATCCAGTGTCTGCCACCGCAGTATGAAACGATCCCGGGTAATAAAGCTAATCCAGTCCTTGCCAAGCCTTCTGTTGGGGATGGGCCAGGATCCATCAAAAGTGCAGATGAGCCACTCCTCACCTCCGCCCACTGCTTCTAGAACTTTCTCCTAAGTCCTAGAGCAGGAGATCCCCAGATGACTCCTCTCCTCATCCATCTGTACTGGGGGAATCCCTGGGCAGGGGATCCCCAGATGACTTCTCTCCTCATCCAGCTGTACTGCGGGAATCTCTGGGCAGGGGATCCCCAGGTGGCTCCTCTCCTCATCCAGCTGTACTGGGGGAATCCCTGGGCAGGAGATCCCTAGATGACTCCTCTCCTCATCCAGCTGTACTGGGGGAATCTCTGGGCAGAAGATCCCCAGATGACTCCTCTCCTCATCCATCTGTACTGGGGGAATCCCTGGGCAGGGGATCCCCAGATGACTCCTCTCCTCATCCAGCTGTACTGGGGGAATCTCTGGGCAGAAGATCCCCAGATGACTCCTCTCCTCATCCATCTGTACTGGGGGAATCCCTGGGCAGGGGATCCCCAGATGACTCCTCTCCTCATCCAGCTGTACTGGGGGAATCTCTGGGCAGGAGATCCCCAGACGACTCCTCTCCTCATCCAGCTGTACTGGGGGAATCTCTGGGCAGGGGATCCGGTGTCTGCCACCGCAGTATGAAACGATCCCGGGTAAGAAAGCTAATCCAGTCCTTGCCAAGCCTTCTGTTGGGGATGGGCCAGGATCCATCAAAAGTGCAGATGAGCCACTCCTCACCTCCGCCCACTGCTTCTAGAACTTTCCCCTAAGTCCTAGAGCAGGTGGAAGTCTGGGAGAGCTGACCTGCAGAGCCTCTCAGCTCTGACCTGAATTGGACCCTCTGACTATTGTGACTCAGCCCTCCTGACATTAGAACTAGAGCGCCCCCTTGCTGACTAGGAGGGTGCTACACTCCTGTAGGGTAATAACTCTTTCTGTTTTCTGGAAGGGCGAATCTGGCTGGACAATGTCATCTGCTCTGGAAGTGAGAAAAGTATTGAGGACTGTAAGTCCCGGGGATGGGGGAACAGTGACTGCACCCATGAAGAGGATGCCGGGGTCATCTGCAAAGATGAGAGAATTCCAGGATATGTTGAGCCCAACACTATTGAGGTAAGAAAAAGACAAATTCCGTCACCATCTAACCTCACTGGGGGGGTCAGTATGGTGACCTCACTGGGGGTGGCCAGTATGGTGTCCTCACTGGGGGGGTAGTATGGTGACCTCACTGGGGGTGGCCAGTATGGTGTCCTCACTGGGGGGGGTAGTATGGTGACCTCACTGGGGAGGTCAGTATGGTGACCAGAGGGCAGCTATGAGACATGATATATGCCCCTCCCACTGACACAGACAGAGGGCAGCTATGAGACATGACATATGCCCCTCCCACTGACTGGTGACACAGACAGAGGGCAGCTATGAGACATGACATATGCCCCTCCCACTGACACAGACAGAGGGCAGCTATGAGACATGATATATGCCCCTCCCACTGACGGGTGACAAAGACAGAGGGCAGCTATGAGACCTGACATATGCCCTTCCCAGTACGGGTGACACAGAGGGCAGTTATGAAATTTGACCTTCCCACTGATGGGCGACACAGAGGGCAGCTATTATACATCTGCTATGCCCCTCCCATAGTGGGGTGAAAGATACATAGGACATGGCACATCCTGTAGGGTGAGACATACATTCTAGCCCCTCCCAGCACAGGGTGACATGTAGCATATCAATGGTTAACATTGGGTGGGGAATCCATGTCTTCCAGACAGAGCAGAGGCAGGTGGAAGAGGTCCGTCTGAGGCCGGTCATCACGAATGCCAAGAACCGACTTCCAGCTCATGAGGGGATATTGGAGATCAAATACAGGAATACCTGGGAACAGGTGTGTGATGTGGGCTGGACTCCGGCAAACAGTCACGTGGTCTGCGGAATGCTGGGCTTCCCATCCGAGAAGAAGTTCAACAAAAACTTCTACAAGTAAGATCTACATGAGTGATAGACACTTCATAGAGGGAGATGAAAGGACAGAGCTGAGATGTCTAGTCGTAGAGTGGGTGGAGGGACCTAATGTCAATGTGTCATCTAATGTCCACGTGTCCTAGTTACCATCCCGGTATAGTGTGGGTTGAGGGATCCAATGGCAACGTGTCAACTAATGGCAACGTGTCAACTAATGGCAACGTGTCCTACTTCCCATCCCGGTACAGCAGAAGAAGAGGGAATGATGGTGAGGGTGATGGTCGCCCCAGACATCTTCATTGTCTGAAGAGTTGACTGATAGACAACAGGGGTCCGGTGTGGTGTGATACAAGAGAGGTTGGAGGTCATTTGTGGAAGGATGTTTGTGGGGATAGATGGAAAAGAGATGGGGGTCTGGATATATAGAGATGGGGGAGGTCACAGAGATGGGGGGTCTGGATATATAGAGATGGGGGAGGTCACATAGATGGGGGGTCTGGATATATTGAGATGGGGGAGGTCACAGAGATGGGGGGTCTGAATATATAGAGATGGGGGAGGTAACAGAGATTGGGGGTTTGGATATATAGAGATGGGGGAGGTCACAGAGCTGGGGGGGGTCTGGATATATAGAGATGGGGGAGGTCACAGAGCTGGGGGGGGGGGTCTGGATATATAGAGATGGGGAAGGTCACAGAAATGGGGGGTCTGGATATATAGAGATGGGGGAGGTCACAGAGATGGGGGGTCTGGATATATAGAGATGGGGGAGGTCACAGAGATTAGGGTCTGGATATATAGAGATGGGGGAGGTCACAGAGATGGGGGGTCTGGATATATAGAGATGGGGAAGGTCACAGAGATGGGGGGTCTGGATATATAGAGATGGGGGAGGTCACAGAGTTGGGGGGGGTCTGGATATATAGAGATGGGAAAGGCCAAAGAGATGGGGGGTCTGGATATATAGAAATGGGGGAGGTCACAGAGATGGGGGTCTGGATATATAGAGATGGGGGAGGTCACAGAGATGGGGGGTCTGGATATATAGAGATGGGGGAGGTCAGGTCACAGAGATGGGGGGTCTGGATATATAGAGATGGGGGAGGTCACAGAGATTAAGGGTCTGGATATATAGAGATGGGGGAGGTCACAGAGATGGGGGGTCTGGATATATAGAGATGGGGAAGGTCACAGAGATGGGGGGTCTGGATATATAGAGATGGGGGAGGTCACAGAGATGGGGGGTCTGGATATATAGAGATGGGGGAGGTCACAGAGATGGGGGGTCTGGATATATAGAGATGGGGGGAGGTCACAGAGATGGGGGGTCTGGATATATAGAGATGGGGAGGTCACAGAGATGGGGGGTCACAGAGATGGGGGGTGGATATATAGAGATGGGGGAGGTCACAGAGATGGGGGGGTCTGGATATATAGAGATGGGGAAGGTCACAGAGATGGGGGGGGTCTGGATATATAGAGATGGGGGAGGTCACAGAGATGGGGGGTCTGGATATATAGAGATGGGGAAGGTCACAGAGATGGGGGGTCTGGATATATAGAGATGGGGGAGGTCACAGAGATGGGGGGTCTGGATATATAGAGATGGGGAGGTCACAGAGATGGGGGGTCTGGATATATAGAGATGGGGGAGAGGTCACAGAGATGGGGGGTCTGGATATATAGAGAGATGGGGGAGGTCACAGAGATGGGGGGGTCTGGATATATAGAGAGATGGGGGAGGTCACAGAGATGGGGGGGTCTGGATATATAGAGATGGGGGATCTGGATACACCAAACCATAGGAGGTCACAGAGATGGAGGATGAGAAGACATGGGGGGGGGGGGGAAAGGACTGGGGTAACTAAGATAACTGAAGAGTGGGGAGACAGAGATGATCACATGGTGGGTTTGAGACGTTGTGGAATGTGGAGAGATGGAGGAGACACGGACTGCGTTCACAGAGTTGGTGTGGAGAAGATGGAGGAGACGGAGAAGAGTGGAATGGAGACACGGACTGCGTTCACAGAGTTGGTGGAAAGTGAGGAGAAGATGGAGGAGACTCGGACTGCGTTCACAGAGTTGGTGGAATGCGGAGAAGATGGAGGAGACACGGACTGCGTTCACAGAGTTGGTGGAATGTGGAGAAGATGGAGGAGACTCGGACTGCGTTCACAGAGTTGGTGGAATGAGGAGAAGATGGAGGAGACTCGGACTGCGTTCACAGAGTTGGTGGAATGTGGAGAAGATGGAGGAGACTCGGACTGCGTTCACAGAGTTGGTGGAATGAGGAGAATATGGAGGAGACTCGGACTGCGTTAACAGAGTTGGTGGAATGAGGAGAAGATGGAGGAGACACGGACTGCGTTCACAGAGTTGGTGGAATGTGGATTTGGTGGGAACCCCCCGAAGAGTAGAAATCCTGAGTGGAGAAGATGCTGTAACGAGGAGTCCAGCACTCTTCTCCAAGTCTATGAAGTGTGGGTGGGGCTCTTCCTTGCTGCTGGTGATCATTTTCGGTTGGTTGGACATTTGATGTGGATTGCGGGATTCGGGTTCCTGGCAGATTGTAGCTTTAAGGTGCCAGAATTATAGAATGCTCCAACCTTCCTCTGCTTCTGAATTCCTCAGCACATGGTGTAAGCCCCGCCTACTTCCTTTCTGATGCATTGCATAGGACACATATACCCCTCCCATCACCCCCCATCACGCCTCATCACCCCTCATCCTCTTCCCTATGTCTCCTCCTTGGAAGAACGTAATCAACTCACAAGATTTCTGGCAGGATCCACAGGAATATTTATGTAGCTCTGGAACAAACACAACAAATACATTCAATGGAACATTTGGTGACCAAAAGGGAGCAGATAGGAACCGTTCCTTGTTGGAGCTCACGTGGACATTCAGTGATCAATACACCCGCCCAGTGCACTGCAGATAGGTCCTCTGCTGGTATAGCCAGTCCTTATATGTGGGCGGTGTACTCCTCCTGCAGCGCTGGGTCACATGTCTTCCCACTTTACCACTTTTCTGGTTCTGTAGACCCTGCCTCCCCCACCCCCGTTCCTGCCTGCCTCTCCAATGTCTTCTCCCTGGACTGACTGGCTTTGTTTTGTGTTTTATTCTTTTATTTGCCTCGGGGTAGTTGGGAAGATCTTCTGCTGCCATGACAGTCTTTTCTGATCATCGTATTTATTAGAAATGTGCCGTACTCTCTAGAGTAGACAAGGGATTCTCTGAAGGACTAGTGGATACTTAGCACAAGCTTCAACCCTTGTGTGGCTCTCATCTAGTGTAGATGGGAATTCCCTGAAGGACTAGTGGACCCCTACACACAACATGCTCCAGACCTCATCTGAGTCGTATCTAGAATAGACATGGAGGGGGTCTCTGAAGGACTTGTGAACAAATTGCAAGATCCAGAATCTCAACTGAGTCCTATATGGAATAGAAGGGGAGGGGGGTTTTGAAGGACTGGTGGACACCTAGCACAAGCTTCTCTAAGTCTTATATGGAGAAGATGGGGAGGGAGTTCTTTGAGGAACTGGTGGACACCTAACACAAAGCTCTAGAGCTTCATGTGATCCTAATCTAGAGTAGACAAGGAGTGGGATCTCAGAAGGTCTAATGGACACTGAGCATCTGAAGTAGACAGTGAGAAGATTCTGTGAAGGACTATTGGACACCTAGCATAAGAATCGGACCATCATCTGAGCCTTTTCTAGAGTAGATGGGGTGGGAGCTCTCTGAGGAACTAGTGGACACCTAGCACAAACTTCAGAGCCTCATCTGAGTCTTATCTTGAGTAGAGGGAGTGGAAGTTCTTTGAGGGACTAGTGGACACCTAGCACAAACTCCAGGCATCATCTGAGTCTTATCTTGAGTAGAGGGAGTGGAAGTTCTTTGAGGGACTAGTGGACACCTAGCACAAACTCCAGGCCTCATCTGAGTCTTATCTAGAGTAGAGGGAGTGGAAGTTCTTTGAGGGACTAGTGGACACCTAGCACAAACTTCAGAGCCTCATCTGAGTCTTATCTAGAGTAGAGGGAGTGGAAGTTCTTTGAGGGACTAGTGGACACCTAGCACAAACTCCAGGCCTCATCTGAGTCTTATCTTGAGTAGAGGGAGTGGAAGTTCTTTGCAGGGACTAGTGGACACCTAGCACAAACTCCAGACCCTCATGTGAAACTTATCTGAGTCCCATGTGGGGTAAACGGGCAAGAAAGTTTTCTGAAATACTAGTCAACACCTAGCAAAGCAAGCTTCGCCAAGTCTTATCTGGAGTAGACGAGAGGGAGTTCTTTGAGGAACTGGTGGACACCTAGCATAGGTTCCAGACCAATGTGTCTTTCATGTTTTTATTTTCACGTTTTCCAGAGAAGTAAAAACATCGGCAAACAAAAAACGTTCCACCAAGGTGACGAGCGCAGGGCCCGCAGGTAATGGTGCAGTTTATTTAGGGATCGAGACTAAATAAACTACCTGTATTCTGGACTAACAGTCCTAATATCTCATAATGTCTCGATTCACCCCCAAACCAATAATCACCCGCGTCCCCAATGCTTCTCTAACATTGTAATTCCATCACTTCCTAGTTTGCAGACCCCATGTACTAGTGGATACCTAGCACAAGCTCCAAACCCTCATCTGAGTCCTATCTGAAGTAAACAGGGGCAGGTTCCTCTACAGGACTAGTGGACACATAGCACACCCTCCAGAACCTCACCTGAGTCTTTCCTGGAATAGAAGGGTAGGGATTCTCCAAACAACTGGTGCACACCCAGCACAAGCTTTAGAGCCTCATCTATTGTAGACGGGGAGGACATTCTTTGAAGGACTAGCAGACATCTAGCACAAGTCGCAGGCCTCATCTATTGTGGACTGTGAGGACATTCTTTGAAGGACTAGAGAACACCTACCACAAGCCCCAGTCCTCATCTATTGTAGACAGTGAGGACATTCTTTGAAGGACTAGAGAACACCTAGCACAAGGCCCAGTCCTCATCTATTGTAGACGG